GTACAAATACAAACAAATTAACACATTCTGTAGTGTTTTATATCAATGAGACCGTGATCTATGCTTTATTCATCTACTAATTGTAGTTGTAAAGTATACAACTTCTTAGCAAGATTAAAAAAACAAGAGAGACTTAAGTAATTCAATGATATTATCTAAGATGTAATTATGCTGATGTACAAAGATTAAATATTTTTTAATTGTTGTACTGCGAGAACAATTCAAAAAAATAAGGATCAAATGTGTTGGCCAAGGAGGCCATCTAATAAGAGGGGAGGATTGTGTATAATATATGTATGACAGTGTTGTGAACTTTGTCACACTTGTATTTATGCTTTAAAGTTAATTCTGTAGTATTGATTTATTTCTGATATATTTTACACTATTTTACACCCACATTACATACTGTCCTGTCAATGAATCACGTTACATAACGTAATATTTATATTGTGATGCTAGACAGTAGTCAGTCAGTTTTGTGCAAGTTGTTTCTTTTATTTTTTTTTGTATTCAGAACTTGGTATCGAATCGAAGTGTTCAGTAGTTTCTATCACTTATATTAGTTAAAGATCACTGGGTTGGATGCGTGCCATTTTATGTAATAGCATTGTTCCATGTGATTATGAACGCGTTAATCATTGAACCAGGTTACTTAAAATTGAAAGTTTTTCCAATAACTACAATGAGATTCACTTAGACGAGAAGCCTAAGTTAAAAATCAGCGACTTCTCCGAAAAAATAGTTCTTTCATCGAAGAATAAATCTAAATTGATTACAAGCTTCAATTCATGGTGCCTGAGGAGATCAACACATCTGTTTATCTAGAAATGAAATGTAGTGAGAGTTTTTTGCACGCCTTATTGGCTACGGTGCAGCCACTGTAATGGTAGCGTAATGAATAATTACAATGTACGATAGTGTAAATGACAGCTGATAACAATTTATCGACGACCGACTGGGAGCTCAGGTCAAAGAAATGTGGAAACTGTTGAATTCAAGAAAAACTTCAAGCAACGTGAAATCCGAGAATAGCAGTTAAGAGAGTTAGGAGGAAGCAATTGTATTAGTAAATACAATGAATGTTATTTGTTTGTGAAAACACATGACAAACTAATTCCCTTTACGACACGCTTAAAATAATTGGAGACAACACTGTCTACTGAATATTAAAAAGTAGTATGAAGCAATACACAAAAAACAAGTTGAATGACAAAGGAATAAGGACAGCGTATGTAAACGAACTTGTCAGTTAACCTACCAGAAAACAAGTGTAATTTTAGAACTATATAAAGTTTTAAAAGCTTCAAGGAGGTAGTTGCTTAAAAACGATGACACAGTTAGGAATTTTCACACGAGAAAAATAGAATGGTTTTCTAAAATTTTCTCTAAGAGTTTCCGAACGAAGCTTTATGATTTTAAACAGGTTTGGTTTTTTTAAATGATCGATTATCTATTGATTGTAGATTATTTCAAGTAGGTTTGTATGAAAAAAACTATGCACTATGTACTTATATATTTATATCGTTAATATTACACCAATATTTATTTTTACATACATTTCACATCAGATTCATATATTTATATCGTAATTGATCTTTGATCAATATGATAGTTGTTTGAATGGAATACAGACTATTGTTATTTAATTATACTAAGATAAACGAACTCCTTGTTTTGGCATTCTTGAGTAAGAAACAAACTCATGTAATGTAAAATTTTGTTCATAGTTAGGTTTCAATGATTTCTATTGTCTGATCCGTTGTGTACTGTCCAACTCTTTCTATGAAGTTTATTCATATGAGTATTTTCAAATGATTTATTACGGTGATTAAGAGATCAGTTCACTGATTTTATGCTATCGATTAAACCAGGTTGGTGAAGTAGTGCAAAAGAAATATCTCTGGATAGCACTATCTCGTCCTAGTTCGAGATTACTCATAAGGTCACACTGTTAGGATATTCATCCAGTATCCTAAGGGAATTATTGGTCAAATCCTATAGGTCGATTTTTATTGGTCAAAATTATGGTCGTTTTAATTGTCAAAGTCAAATACTTAAATGTTGTCTCTTATTGGTCATCCTGACTATCAATGTCACTTCAAATGTTACTTCTTATTGGTCGTTCTAACTGTCAATGTCACAGAATTCGATGCTGTTTCTTATTCAAACAAAATGTATAAATACGCATTATCTGAAACGTTTTATGACCACGACCAGGACCAGGGCTCGGTCCCGGATCCCTAGTCCGGGATCCTGATTCTCTTTTGGATTCGGACCTCGTACTTTCTGGATGCTTGTAGAATACAGGTTCTACTTCATATCACGTCTTCTTATTTTTACTAAATATGTGGGTTGGGATAATTAAAATTTGAGTAGTATGTCGTGTCACCGGATCCTCGATCCTCGCTCTCATTTTCCGACTAGATAAACTCGTAATAGTTCAAGCATATCAAGTTGACGTGTCTACGTGCAGGCGTAACACACACCCACAGCCCCTGTTAACGACCAAACTTATCTGTTACCTAAGGGATTAAGTGTAATAATTGTAAAGTACTTGGATTGATAATATATCAACTGTCAGCACGTATGGTAGTTACACCCCGATCCAGAACCTTATATCCTCCTACGGAGTCAAAGAATATCCGAAGACAAAATCCGGCCTTCGATTGAAAACGACTAATATTTAAGAATCGAATCACGCGTTATGTGTAGATATTTTTAGCTATTATATGAATGCAACTACAATGCAACAACAGAATAAATTAACCAATAAGGTGAATTCCGATCATCTCACTGACCAATCATTTAAAATATTGATTTATACTTCAGTTGCTTCCTATCAAGATCATTAATGGTGTTTATTTAATCTCAAACCCAAAATTTAAAATGTCATTAATGTGCTGACCTTTTATTTTAAGATTTTGTAAGAAAATGGCTAGGATTATGCAGA